GCAGGCTGTCGGCCACCCCGCGTCCCTCCGTCCCTGCGGACAAGGACAGAGAGGGAGCGTGAAAGCCGGTCCGGACAGGGAAGGAAATAAACGTCACACCACCTCCCCCCGACCCCCAGGCTCAGCACAGCCAAGTCCTGCATCCAGGGGAACTGGAGGAGCCCCGTCTGCCACGGATCCAGCGGGCCTGTGGCTGCCCCGGCCGGTGTGGCTCAGTGGATAGAGCATCAGTCTGCGGACTGAAGGGTCCCGGGTTTGATTCCCGGTCAAGGGCACAGGCCCGGGTTGTGGGCTCCAAAAAGGGGCGTGCAGGAGGCAGCCGATCGGTGATTCTCTCTCATCATGGATGTTTCTCTCTCTCTCCCTCTCCCTTCCTCTCTGAAATCAATTTTAAAAAAATGTTTTAAATAGGATATCCAGATCTAGGAGCAGTTTATGAAGCCACCAGACTGTGTCCTGAGACTACACCCATGGTCCTGCCTGGCCAGTGTGGCTGAGCCTTGACCTATGAACCTGGAGGTCACAGTTCGATTCCCGGTTTGGGGGCTCGGTCCCCAGTGGGGGGCGTGCAGGAGGCAGCCGATCCATGACTCTCTCTCTCATCATTGATGTTTCTCTCTTTCGCTCCCTCTCCCTTCCTCTCTGAAATCAATAAAAAATATATTTTAAAAAAAAACAAAGAATATATCCGTGGTCTGAAATGCTCACGCCCCTCCCTCTCACCCCCCATCACGCCCCCACACTGCGCCCCCCACCGGCAGGTGGACCAGCTGGCCCGTCTTACCACGTCCCAGGACACTCTCCCATCCCGACGGTGCCTCCCGGCGCCCCTCAGGAACCACTTCCCTTTATGGAGTTCCCTCTGTGGCAACAGCTCCAGTGGTTCCTGGTTTATGGGCTGGCGCCTGATCCCACCACTAATCACTTCATCCCACTGCATTTCCCCAAAGCCACCCTCGCCGCCGCCTGAAACGGCCTTTGTGGTTTCGCCTGTTTACACATCGACTCTCCGCTTTCCCTGCTAACATCCTCGCTCCCTGAGCGCAGAGGCATGAATGGCCGGCTTAGGGCTGGGTCTCCAGCACCCGGGGGAGGAGACAAGCAAACGAAATGCCTGCAGAAGGGACATCCGCCCATTAGGAGGCCTCGCCTCACGCCTGAGGGGATAAATCTCTCCGGTGCCTCTCGGCCTCTCCCCAGGGTTGTTATTAACAGACACCGTGAGCATGAACAAACCCTGTGCCCATCCCATTGTGGCTCCGTTCACTTCCTGCTAGGACGGCGTCGCCTCACCGCGGTCACTGGCCCGTGGCTAGGTTTGCTGAGCCGAGCCCCGCCTCTCACACACGGAGCAGAAAACAGCACGTCAGGGAGAGACACGCCGCCCATGTCGCACCTGCTGGCGTCCACACGCCCGGGCCCGTGGCCTGCGGCTCTACAAGGTCCAGAGGTCGGCGCGATGCTCACAGGGCCGGTTCCTGGCGCCCTCCCTGGACGCCCGGCGAGGTTCCCATTGCTCTGTGGTCACAGGTGACTCTGCCTCCCACCCCGGTACAGCCCAGACTCCCAAGCAGAACAAGAAAATCGGCACTCAGGGCATCTCAGCCCCGTTTCTGCCAAAACAGCCAGTGATCCATACCTTTGAGGTCGTGGGTGATGGATAGGGAAAGAATAGGATCATCATCATCATCGTTACAATCACCATCTTCACCGTCGTCTCCATCACCACCATCACCATCATCATCTCTATCACTACCACCATCACCATCACCATCCTCATCACCATTATCACCATCATCATCATCAACATCACCATCACCATCCTCATCATCTCTATCACCATCATCATCATCGTCATTTATAGAATCCTACGAAACAGCAAGCACTATGTTAATCACTGTACAGGTATGCGCTCTCTCAATCTTCACAATATTCTTGACCCTGAGGAGACAATTATTACCACGACTCATAGGTCACCTGAGGCTCAGGGCCGGCCTCCCATCCCCCAGTGCGTGAGGGGCAGGGGTGGGATTCAAGCCACGCCGTCCAGCCCCAGGCCACGGTGACCCGCTGCCAGAGGAACGCTCAGCCAGCCAAGTCCCTCTTGTAAGAGCTCAGACAATGACCCCGGGGGACGGCCAACGTGCCTCTGAACGGCCCGGCTCTCACAGCCCACGATGAGGTCACGGCTGGACACGGGCCATGCGATGAGAGCAAGTCTCCAACGCTGCTCCTGGCTCTGCGAGCAGCCCCTCCGGCGGGCGCTCCTGGGGGGCCCTGGGGACACAGCCTCCCCGAGTGAGTCTATCCGCGTCCTTCCGACCGCGCCCCTCCCTGCAAGGCGGGACGTAGCAACAGAAAACCAGCGAGAGCCATTCTGCCGAGGACGCGGGAGTGGGAGCCAAGACAGCTGGCGGCTCTTGGAAGGTCTGTCCTGGTAGAGAAATAAAATCCGGAAGATGATCCCAGAGAACGCCGCCTCCCCCGCCCCCTCCATGAACGCACTTTCCTCCTGAAACAGCCGAGGTCTCGGCAAGAGGCGAGTGGCTGAGTCTTGAATTGTATTATCTGGCAAGATCTGGGGGGGTCCGAAGGTTCTCCGTAGACAATCAAGGCCCAGGCACAAGACTGAAAACATAGCAAAGAGCCCAGCCGGTTTGGCTCAGTGGTTGGGCGTTGACCTGTGAACCAGGAGGTCACGGTTCTATTCCCGGTCGGGGTACAGGCCCGGGTTTTGGGCTCCATCCCCAGTGTGGGGCGTGCAGGAGGCAGCCGATCCATGATTCTCTCTCATCATCGATGTTTCTCTCTCTCTCTCCCTCTCCCTTTCTCTCTCTCTCTCTCTCTCTCTCTCTCTCTCTCTCTCTCCCATCAATAAAAACATATTTGCAAAGTTCTATGAGGTTAGTCTTGCCTCTGTCTTCAGGTGGATTTAGAATCCTGTTGTCAAGTTGTCCAGACCTTCGAAACCCAGCCGGACCCTCACCTGAGGCCCGCAGCTACCTGTAGGGGTCAGTGGGTGCCTTTCAACCCTCCGCTGTTTTCCCAGGTGGTTCCTACTTTTCCAGAATACACGCGTCTTGCTTATTCAGTCTAAGGGAAATATTGACATTTCTCCCTGAAAAAGGAAGATTCGGAATTGGATTTTAAGTGGCAGCCTGAGTACATGCGTCTCCTCGCATCACCGCGGAAATGAAAGCATCAAACACAACAAGGAACAAAGCTCTTATCCCAGGAAGTGGGGGAAAACGGGTGGAAGAAAAGTGTGTTGATGGGCAAGACGGGAGGAGGAAGCCTTGAGCGAGGACGTTCTGTGTGAGCCCGGCAGAGAGGGTCCGGGCGGCTCGGCCCACGGGGACCCCAGACAACGCGCCTCGACCGCGAGCACCGGGCCGAGAGCCGGGAGAGTGACTACTCTCTGGGGGTGGGAGGTGGGACACCGCCTCCAGGCAGGCCTCCTCCCCACACCCGCATCCGAGTACAGGGAAGAATGCTTGGTATTTGCGCCCCATCAAAACTCAGCTCTTCTCTGAGGAGCTTGCATTCACCCAGGAGAGAAATGCCAGGCGCCCGCGTGTGGGCGCCGATCCCCACATCGCGAGAGAGGGGGTGGGCGTGGAGCAGCCACCGTGGAACCACGGGGACCCACGTCACCCACCGAGAAAGAAAGGCGGGAAGTCAGAAGGCACTGGCCACTGCTAGATTGAAGAGCAAATCCCATAAAACAAGCTCCTACGGGCCTGAGCCACTGCGGCCGGATGCACTGTCAACCGCTGAGAACGGAGGCAGGAGGTGCGTCCGGGAACTCCGTCCTCATCGTTCCTTAGGAAGCCCTGGGGTCTGAGTGTGCTAACTCCAGCCCAGCTGCCATGGCTCAGGGGTTGAGCGTCGACCTAGGAACCAGGAGGTCAGGGTTCGATTCCCGGTCAGGGCACAGGCCCGGGTTGCGGGCTCCATCCCCAGTGTGAGGTGTGCAGGCGGCAGCCGATCCATGATTCTCTCTCATCGTTGATGTTTCTATTTCTCCCCCTCCCTTCCTCTCCGAAATCAATAAAAATTTAAAAATTAAGAAGTCGAATCGAATGGCTCGGCTGCTCCCTAAGGTTCGCTGTGCTCGTTAGCGAGGAGGCGAGGAAGATAGCACACGAGCATGGAGGGCGGCGCGAGGGGCTTCCGCGGGCACCAGATGTCCGGGCGCGGGATGGATGGATGGCTGGTGTGGATCTCGGTGACAGCACTGCCGACCCCCACAGGCACGTCAGCTGGTAAAACCGCAGGAACTGGGGGTGACCTTGTCTGATTCCGTGTATGTTTCTTCTAACTTGGACGCCTCGGCGAGGGCATAGCTGAGACGGAAATGCATCGAGCAGCCCTGGCAGCTTCACCCCCACCCCACCCCACCCCCCGCCAGCGGGGAGGCCGTGGAGGTTCCCGGGGAGCGGGGAGCACCAGGGCCGGAGTCCTGGTCGGCCGGGCTGGATGCATGGACCGAGACCCCTCCCCAGCGCGGCTCGGCTGCGTGAGGGGCTTCCGCGGGCACCAGATGTCCGGGCGCGGGATGGATGGATGGCTGGTGTGGATCTCGGTGACAGCACTGCCGACCCCCACAGGCACGTCAGCTGGTAAAACCGCAGGAACTGGGGGTGACCTTGTCTGATTCCGTGTATGTTTCTTCTAACTTGGACGCCTCGGCGAGGGCATAGCTGAGACGGAAATGCATCGAGCAGCCCTGGCAGCTTCACCCCCACCCCACCCCACCCCCCGCCAGCGGGGAGGCCGTGGAGGTTCCCGGGGAGCGGGGAGCACCAGGGCCGGAGTCCTGGTCGGCCGGGCTGGATGCATGGACCGAGACCCCTCCCCACGGCCCCTGAGGTCCCATTTCCATCTGCGCCAAACGGGGTCCCCCCTGGCCACCCATGGGGGACACACCCTGAGGGAACCGGGCTGCAGGGACATAATTGGCGGAGAGCGCTGCCTTTGGACTTTCCGCTAACTCAGACCCGCCTTCCCTCCATCCGTCCTTGCTGAGGTCA